TGCCCTAGGCCTTTCCAATAAAGACCTATTACAAATTTTAATGATGCTACTATACTTGTTCAAATTTAAAGCTTTACTTAATTAAAAAATACCAAGAGAAATGTGCATTGGATGTGAAAGTATATATATATATTTTTTTTTCTGGTACGCCATCTGTGAAACTAGAGTTTAATACTCCTTCCTAAATCCAGAATGTGTCTGTGATTTTGAACTGATTACTAAAATATTGTAAATTTAGTCTGCCAAAAATCGGAAAATATATAGGCTATACATTTTTTTTAATTCAATTCAATTAAGTTTATTATTTATCTAAGGCATTTATCAAAGGTATCTAGATTTTATAATTTTCCAGTATTTTACTGAGAAAGTGATTACAGTTTGTTTTATATAATATTTTTTTCTGGGGTTTTTTTGTGCTAAATGGATATATAATATTTTCAGTATGTTTAAAATGTGCATTGATCTTGTTATCAATGAACAAGTAAGTTGAAAAGTGGATCATATTGTTAAAGTTAAATTATACTATTTTATGGGTTACAATACCAACAAAATTGAACAGTTTTAATATAAAAAACACCTTTTCTCATAAATAGTACAAGTATAATTTGAATTGTATCAACCATGTGAATATTCTTATGTGTTTGCATGTACAAATCAAATACGCATACATACATATGGAAATTATTTACACACTGTACATAAATATGTATTCCATTACCATAGATGCCACTGGTGAAGGTGGTGGTGGTGCTCTTTATTTTGGCACAACAAAGATATTTAAAAAATCCATGACTAAGACAAAAGGACCCCAAAATACTCGTACAATGATTATAAAACACACCGTGATAAAAAAACGGCTCAATGGACAACATAAAAACTTTGTAAACACTGTGGATGTCTTTAAACATGATGTATTTATCTAAAAAGTATATTGAATAGATGGGCGGCAACCTCCTATAAGACAAACTAATTATTTTCACCATTTCAGGAGCAGTGAGCTTAACAAGTTCACTTCCTGTGCTAAATGTTTCCTGCCTGCACATCTGAAACATGCATTGTAACTTTTCATTTGCCACCATAAAAAGAGAAAATAAACAAGCTTTTTTTTCTGCTGACCTGAAAAAATATGCTGACGGTACAACTGACATACAGCAACAGTCAACAACGATAATAAGTCATGATTTCTTAAGAAGCAAATATTTTATTCTCTCTTCAGATTTGTTAAGTTTGTGCAAAAGCACACTGTGATGTTTACTGTGCATACTTTGTGAAAATGTTTTGTAATGATTAAAAGCACCTTTAAATGGGTGCATAATGTGACAGTGGTACTTGACAGGTGATGAATCTGCTTTTTTGGGCGACCTGAATTCTACCCACAGATACAAATCAAAAACGTGTTTCAATTCCTGTAAAATTATGCAGATTTTCAGTTTGTAAAACTATTTTGAAACTTTAGTGTCCATATCTTGTTTAACATATTGTTTTGAAAAAAGATCTTACCTGCTACTTCACTTCTTTGGAGGATTAAAAAGGATTAATTTACCCATTAGCCATAATGATGTTTGTGAATTTGACTTGCTCCCTAGAGTTGCTATAAAATCTCATCAGATTAGAAGCCCTACATGCAGGAAAACACATCAGACATACATTCTTAAGCTATTTTAGTAAGGCCTAGATGTATTTATGGATGGATGTATGGATGGATGTATCACATCCATACATACATCTATACATACATCCATACATCATGTATGGATGTATGGATGTATATATGGACAGACGGACGGAGACAGACAAACAATAACACATCACATTTTACCTTAATATTCATAAAATTGTCTGAATTTTTGCCATATTGTATTTTCTAAGCCAGCTGACTGTGGCAGCCATCTTGAACAAGCTGGTTCTAAAAGTCATTCGTTTGTAAAAAAAAATCACCAAGAAATTATTTTCTGAAAGTTTCATCAAAATCCATCCAGTGGTTTATGAGATATGTTGCTAACAGAGAAACTCAATTTTTTTTTTATCAGAATTTACACAAGAGGTCTCCACCATAACCCTCAGCACTGGCTCTCCTCAGGGATGCGTGTTGAGCCCCCTTCTGTTTACTCTTGTAGTGAACCAGATAACCTCAAATCTACCAGATGGACAGAGACTGTTATTTTCATTGATCTGAATAAGTCTGAACCATCTGATGAACTTTCTTTCTTGAATTAATCAAGCAGAAAAGACAATTCTTTATAATCATTACTGTCTTACAAATGTTTTGATAATCAAATTGTGTTAGTTCACTCAATGCTTTACAGGTTGAAAAGAACTACTAATTTTTATTTTTACATAAACAGTAAGTAATGATTTTTGTTCCTCATTCAGAGAAGAAATCACCTGAATATGCCTTTCTTGATTTTCTGTCTGAAATGAGCAAGCTGTCGTAAGTATGTTAAAGGTTGGTTTTCGGTCAACTAAAATGTTTACCGAGAAAAATGTCATGTTTTACTATTTGAAAAGATTACAAAGTGTGAGACTCCACGAAGTCTGCTGTTGCTGCAATAATCTTTTCTGTATGTTGTAAACAATCCTTGACTTATGATAACATCTTACGTCACAAATCCACTCCTCTTTCTGGTCCTTCCACGAATCAGAAAGCTCTAAATTGAACAGGAAGTCGACCCAAATAAAATGTGGCAACTTCTCAGTTCATGAAGAAGAGAAGGAATAGAGAATTATGGATTCCAGAATTCCAAGAGAATGAGAGTTCTGAGAGATGTTGGATTGAGAGCTGACAACAGGTCCGATAGTCCAACAGAATGAGCAGATTGAGAGTGCAGCCGGTTCTGAAAGTTTCAGAGCAATGAAGAATCCAGAGGTTTTGGGATTATAAGTCTGTTTTGAGCTAACCACGCACGACTCTCCGAGGATTTTTAGCTGTGCTTAACGGAGGCGCTGGAAACAGTCTGAAGGATGCTTACTGAGCTGATCTATCGTCAAACCAGGTAAAGATTTCCTCTTCGACTAAAGTGTACCGTGGACGGGCTGAGGATCTGACGGAGCGTGCAATTTCTGGTTAAACAGATTAAACTTCCCTCACACAGTTCTCTGTAAGATAATCTCCTTTCACTCTAAAACCCACCTCTCTCTCATAAATCAGTACAGATATTTTAGAAATATCTTAAGCAAAGTCCTCAAATCACCGCCGAGTGATTTGAAGTTCATTTTCTGTGAAACTGTCTGTTATTATTTTCATATTTTGCCAAATTAATGTAAATGTTTGATGTTAAACTTTGATTTTGAAAATAAATGATTCCATTCATTTGATGGGTCAAAGATAAATAACGTCTCTCGTTCACATTTCTGTTAAATTCAATGCACGGCATTTACAGTCAGAAAAATGAAGAACTCGTGAATATTGTATGCATATATAATTCATATTTGTCATACAACAAGTGACACGTACCTCACGTGTCTCACTACACTCTGCTCACATATGATTGTGCAGCTACCCATCCAGGCTGTCACATTGTAAAGTTTGCAGATGATACAGGGGTGGTGGGATGCATCACAAACAATGATGAGTCCAGCTACAGGCAAGAGGTGGAACACCTGGAGAGCTGGTGCAGAGAGAATAACCTTCACATCAATGTGAAGAAGACAAAGGAGATGATTGTGGACTTCAGAAGGAACAAAAACACCTACACCCCCCTGAACATAAGAGGATCTGCAGTGGAAGTGGTCTCCAGCTACAAGTACTTGGGTGTACACATGAATGACAACCTCAGCTGGAGCAACAACACCACCAGCCTGATCAAGAAAGCTCATCGGAGACTCTACTTCCTCAGACGGCTGAGGCGAGCTGGTCTGGGAGGCTCAGTCCTCACCTCCTTCTACAGGTGTGCAGTGGAGAGCATCCTGTGCTCGAGCATCAATGTGTGGCATGGAGGCTGCACAGCTGCAGAAAGAAAAGCTTTGCAGAGAGTGGTGAAGGCTGCACAGAAATCTGTTGGAATCAGTCTCCCCACCATCACATACATCTACACCTCCAGATGCAGGAAGAGGGCCACCTGCATCATGAAGGACCCCACCCACCCAGCACACACACTTTTGCCCCACTCCCCTCAGGAAGGAGGTTAAGGAGCATTAAGTGTAGAACCACTAGACTGAGGAACAGCTTCTACCCTGAGGCTGTTAGACTCATGAATCTCTAACTAGAATAATCACTGTGAAAAACCATATCATGTTGCTGCTGATCTGTTTCATGTTGCTGCTGATCTGTTTCATGGTGCTGCTGATCTGTTTCAATGTTGATGTGTTCATGCGTGCACATCTGCTCACGAACTCATGTTCATGTTTGTGCTGATGTTCAATGTTTTATGTTATGAGTGCTTAGTGTATATTTAGTTGATGTTTTTCTTAGTTCATATCTTAGATGTTATTACTGTTTTTCTTAAACATTTTATTGTTGGATGTAACTGGGACCCCGTGTACATAATTTCGCTCCACCACATGTACCACATGAGGTGCGAATGACAATAAAGAAACTCTGACTCTGACTCTGACTCTAATGGGGTTGGATCTCAGCCACACCAAATTTTATTTTCATATAATTGATGGAGTTGTAACCATTTTGTGTTTCCAAAAGTCAATAAGCTGTGGCAGCCACCTTGATTTCCAAACGTTTATCACTTCTAGATATCCATCTAAAATTGTTTCCTTAAAGGTTCAATAAATAAATAAATCCAGTGGTTCATGAGAAAGTATTGGAATAAACACACACACGAACACACACAGAGATAGGTCTATAAGCAACCAAAAAAAAAATCACAAACAAACAAATAAATAAATAAATACAACATGATCGTACGCCTTTGCGTTAAAGATTTATGGAGTCTCCATAAAGATTGGATCATTCAATTCACCAAATTAGACTTTCTGAGCGACTGAAGCCACGCCCACCACGCTACATCCTGTGACGCTCAGTGCAGCCACCATGTGCTTGTCTGCGCATGTGCGCTATTCTGCTCTTCTACTCTTTGGCGCTCATAGTGACTTTTACGCACAGTGCCGTCGCGCGCCACTATCCTTCATAAATTTCTCGACCTGTGCGCGTTCCTGCTTTTAAAATGTGGAAACTTATTCTACCTTGTTTTGGGCTAAATTCTTACAAAATAAGATTTTCTGTTGCAGGAAGCGCTCTAACTGAGACTCTGTCTGTTCTGAAGCTCGGATGAGAGATCCGGCCACCAGCGGCTCTCATGGCTTACCATCCTTTCCAGGGTCACGGAGCAGACGCACTTCCTCTGCCCGCCTTCCATTTCAGCGCTCAGTCTTCATTTCCCCCAGTGTTCCCCCTTTCTGGGGTCGCCTCTCTCTCCGACGCCCTGTCGGAACCGGCTGCCTGTGACGCGCGGCTGCGCGCGGCTCTGCAGCTCCGAACTCAGCCGGTGCGTCCTTGGCTTTTGAAGAACCTGCAGCCCAAAGAACGTCTGGACGACGAGCTGAAAGTTACTCTGGAATCTAGAGATTTATGGAGTGCGTTTCACAAAATGGGAACTGAGATGGTTATCACAAAATCTGGGAGGTAAGACAGTCTTTCACCAAGAGTCTTAGCATGAACACAAAATTTCACAACTTTTAGAATATATATTATATAGGTGCTGGTCATAAAATTAGAATTTCATGAAAAAGTTTATTTATTTCAGTGATTCCATTCAAAAAGTGAAACATTTATATTCATTCATTACACACAGACTGATATATTTCAAATGTTTATTTCCTTTAATGTTGATGATTATAACTGACAACTAATGAAAACCCCAAATTCGGTATCTCATAAAATGAGAATATTGTGAAAAGGTTCAATATTGAAGACACCTGGTACCACAGTCTAATCAGCTAATTGACTCAAAACACTTGCAAAGGCCTCTAAATGGTCTCTCAGTCTAGTTCTGTAGGCTACACAATCATGGGGAAGACTGCTGGACTTGACAGTTGTCCAAAAGATGACGATTGACACTTTGCACAAGGAGAGCACGACACAAAAGGTCTTTGCTAAAGAGGCTGGCTGTTCATAGAGCTCTGTGTCCAAGCACATTAATAGAGAGGTGAAGGGAAGGAAACGGTGTGGTAGAAAAAAGTGTACAAGCAAGGGATAACGTACCCTGGAGAGGATGGTGATGCAAAACCCATTCCAAAATGTGGGGGAGATTCACAAAGAGTGGACTGCAGCTGGAGTCAGTGCTTCAAGAACCACCATGCACAGACATATGCAAGACAAGGTATTCATCTGTCACATTCCTTGTGTCAAGCCACTCTTCAACAAGAGACAGCATCAGAAGCGTCTCGCCTGGGTGAAAGACAAAATGGACTGGACTGCTGCTTTGTGATCCAAAGTTATGTTCTCTGATGAAAGTAAATTTTACATTTCCTTTGGAAATTAAGGTCCCAGAGTATGAAGGAATAGAGGAGAGGCACATAATCCATGTTGCTTGAGGTCCAGTGTCAAGTTTCCACTGTCAGTGGTTTGTGGGGCCATGTCATCTGCTGGTGTTGGTCCACTGTGTTTTCTGAGGTCCAAGGTCAACGCAGCCATCTACCAGGAAGTTTTAGAGCACTTCCTGCTTCCTGCTGCTGACCAACTTTATGGAGATGCAGATTTAATTTTCCAACAGGACTTGGCACCTGCACACGGTGCCATAGCTACTAGTACCTGGTTTAAGGACCATGGTATCCCTGTTCTTAACTGGCCAGCAAACTCCCCTGACCTTAACCCCATAGAAAATCTATGGAGTGATGTGAAGAGGAAGATGTGATACATCAGACCCAACAATTCAGAAGAGCTGAAGGCCACTATCAGAGCAACCTGTGCTCTCATAACACCTGAGCAGTGCCACAGACTGATCGATTCCATGCTACGCTGCATTGATGCAGTAATCCAGGCAAAAGGGGCAACAACTAAGTATTGAGTGCTGTACATGCTCATACTTTACATGTTCATACTTTTCAAGTTTATACTTTTCAGTTGGCCAACATTTTTAAAAATCCTTTTTTTTAATCGTCTTAAGTAATATTCTAATTTTCTGAGACACTGAATTTTGGGGTTTTCATTAGTTGTCGGTTATAATCATCAACATTAAAAGAAATAAACATTTGAAATATATCAGTCTGTGTGTAATGAATGAATATAATATAGAAGTTTCACTTTTGGAATGGAATTACTCAAATACATCAACTTTTTCATGATTTTCCAATTTCATGACCAGCATCTGTAGTTGTGGACCATTACCCGTTATTTATTAACATGTCTCTGATCAGACAGATAAATCGTCTCTTTGGCACCTTAAGAATGGTGTGAAATTCTGTCTTTTTTTTTTTACTTTGACCTTCACTTTTACCACCCACTTGTCTGCTACAGGAGGATGTTTCCGCCTTTTAAAGTGTGCCTAGAGGGCCTGAATGAAACGGCTAAATACATCCTGCTGATGGACATTGTTGCTGTTGATGATTGCCGCTACAAATTTCACAACTCCCGCTGGATTGTTGCTGGGAAAGGAGACCCGGAGATGGCAAAGCGCATGTACATCCACCCCGACAGCCCGTCTAAAGGAGAGCAGTGGATGAGCAAGCCTGTTGCCTTCCATAAACTCAAACTTACCAATAATGTTTCGGATAAGCACGGGTTTGTAAGTAGCTCTCATAACTTTAAAGGCAAAGCTGACTAAATTGAAATGCACTGGAAACACTGGCTTGATGTTCATTGTTTGACTGCTAAATAAGTTATACAATATGGTTGTTGTGAACTTTGCAGACAATTTTGAATTCCATGCACAAGTACCAGCCCAGGTTTCATGTTGTGAGAGCAAACGACATTATGAAGCTTCCTTACAGCACCTTCCGGACTTATGTTTTCCCAGAGACGGAGTTTGTCGCCGTCACTGCATATCAGAATGAAAAGGTAAATTGTTCTCCACAGAATGCCACTGTTGCAGATACATACATCACTGTGCAAAGAGTTCACTTGCATATTTTTTCCTCCTCCTTTAAGATTACACAGCTAAAAATTGACAACAACCCCTTTGCCAAAGGATTCAGAGACGCTGGGAATGGGAAACGAGAAAAGAGGTATTTATAAAATTGTGGAATCTTAACAAACCTGCATGAGTTCATGTCTGAATGAATAATGCGATTCACAGGAATAAACAAATGGGCGCATCTTTGCTGCACGAGAGCCAAAGTGAAGCAGATCAGGACTGTGGGGATTCTGACGAGTCTTTTGAACAGCCCAGCACGAGCGAGCCTTTTTATTCTCCTCTGGCGAGCCCTCTGACGGCCACACCAACGTATCATGGTAAGTTAACTTATAGCTGACTGCTATCATCATCACTAATGTTACTCTGTCTGTACGAAGCCCACTATTTTTATAAGACGTATTGTTTATTGAACTTATAACAAACCTTCAGCCACAGACAACATTTTGGCATTAAGATTTTACTCTGTTAATGTATTTTAACTCACTTGGACTGGTAATGTCTTTTAAATGTTTAAAAGTTAGTATACTGTCTTTTTCACAAACAAAACTTTAGCTCATTACAGCTTACACAAGAAACAAAAAAGTGATACTTTTAGTCATGGCTTAGCTCAAAATAAATGTACTCATTCAAAAAGATGAACTCAAATGTAAAAAAAAATAAAATAAATAAATTCAGGAAGTTCTCGATTTTATTGACCACTATTTTGCGGTTTGCGTCCAAACTCAGTGTAAGCAAAGAACTCGTCTGAATCTGCTGAATCCCTCATGACAGCCTTAGCTACTTAATTAACCTACACTAAGCTGGTTGTAGTCTGAGTAGGAAAACTAGTAGGTAAGTTTAACCTTTAACCTGTTTAGGACACGTTGGCTGTTTCTGTAGGTAAACAAATGCAAATGGTAGTTAGTATATGGTCACAAAATTTGCTCACAAATGTCTATTTTAAGGAATCATTATTAATCAGATTCAGCGTTGCGTCCCTGTGTCTGGTTAATATTACGTGTTTACAGCTGGTTATAGTGAGCTGGCAGGTGGCTGTTTATTTTATCGGTTCACATATTAACTTTAGTTGGAAATGTTTGAATAACAGCCTTTAGATGGCCTTCTTCTAGAATACAAGCCATGGCTGTCTGTGCATTTTGTTTAGTGTTTCAAACAGCTGACTTAATGGAAAAAGTTCATATGAATTGCCTTATTTATTAAGATCTTGCATATCAGACCTACAAGCCCCAAATTTCCCATTTTTTACTTCTTCCTTTTTTTTTTTTTTTTTTTTTTTCTTACAGAGGAAAACGGTATTGGAAGTTATTCTGATACTGAACCACAAGATGGCAACGTTTTTGAAGCCAGCTGTTTCAGGTCGTCTCGTACTTTCGCCATGAGTCAGAGAAACGAGGACATATTGCACAATAAACCTGACCTCAGTGAGAGGACCAACAACCTGGATGGAATGAGAGATAGAACAATGCACCAAACACTGGATGATGGATACCCCACAGAGCTGAGCTCTTCAGAGACCCAACCTGTGGTGTTGCAGTCACGGACCTCATCAGCCCCCAGTGATAATCCCTGCCCAACTTTAGATTTCTCAGGAGTTTATCACCGACTGTTTGCCAAGGTGGGGTCACCTTTGTTATTCCAAGCAGAACAGATGTCAGTAAAACCCAAGGGATTTTGCACTACGGGTGTAGGACCTGGATTTTTGTCTTTGCCTGGAGTAAGGGACTTTGAAAACGCAGGCTTGTCTTCTCAAAGCATCACCTTCTCTGCCCCGTCTCCCTTCTCACAGCACACACTGGCTTCTCAGGTATGCTCCTCCGTCATCTCTCATTGTGGATTATTTTTAAGTTTTACTGTATTTCTTTACCACACATGAAAAAGCCTTTCCTTGAATTATTATTTTTTTTTTCCCCTTGCTTTAACATTTTGCCAAAGCTATGGAGTCATGATCATGTTAAAATGAACACTGACACATATTTAACTGAACTTATGTGAGGTGGAGCTGCACATTACACAGTGACCACCAGACAACTCAAAGTTGGAATTTCCAAAAACACAAATATTTTTGAACAAGAAAATGTAAAAATTGTGAATGAAAAGGTTTGTGTTTAGTTTTTTCAGTTAAATCAGTCTTTAGCAAACGTGAACATAAATAATAGACGACTTATTGATTGTCTCTACACACATTTCCAACAACTATTGATTGTTGCCTAATTTTAATTTTTAGTCAAGGAACAAAAAATAAACTTTGATCCCTCTTGCTTGCCTTCGAAAATCAATTCAACTCAACCTTTAAATTAATCATATTATGAAACTGTTCTGCGGTCTGTTTATTACATTTCCAAAGTAATGACACTCTTCTTTCTCAATACGTTGGGATCAGTTACTTTCACTTTTGCTAATACATTGATTTTTTTTTTATATAAAACATTTAAAACTCAAACAAATAATACTTACTGTAAGTGGGGTTGCATGGACTGGTTATGGGTAGTGACTTTCTTATCTGATGTGGACAAATAGAGCATTTTTAATTCACAGAAAACAGAAGGACTTCTCATGTAACCAACAGTAACTTTAAAAAGAAGGTTCTTTGCAAGAGTTATTTTCTTACTCATTCAACCTTTTATTTAGACAGATAAGTCACATTGAGCCTAGACAGCGCATTTAGAAGTGAGATCTGTTTAGACAGACAAAAAGTAATGAAACTGTACACATGTAGGAATTGGAGGCGAAAAAAAAAATCCTATCAGACTTTTTTCTTTGTGCCTGAGAAGAAAAATTGATATTAAAAAAACACCTCGCACAAACTAGCACATAGTGACGTAGACATTCTGCATAAGGGGGGAGACGACGAGAGCTGTGAGCAATGTCCATAGACGCTCTTGAGGTCACTGTAAGAGTTCTGATAAGGATGTAATAATCAACCAGTGTCCTCCGGTGAGATCCGTAAGCATTCTCGAGGGATGCCGAGGAATGGCCAAGAATAACGACTATGAGAATCCAAGAGTCCTGAAACTATGACACAATGTTTATTCAGCTGGTTTCATCTGGTTATCAGTTGGAAATTCCTCAGGGAGGGGATGGTGAGCGTCAGATCATCTTCTCGTAGTGGATCAACCAGTTTGCTGCAGACAGCCAAAGGCAGCTGCTCACATGATCAAGGAGGACCATCAGCCTAGGGGTAGGCGATATGGCTCTAATATAATATTGTGATATTTCAGAACATTCTGGACTATAACGATAAATTTTGCGATATAAAAAACCCCCCAGAAATCATAGTTAATTTGACCAAATTAACTTAACATGTTGCTTTGCAGTATTACATAATTTTTTTAAAAAACGAGGAGTAATTTTACTGAAATTACTTTATTTAGTAAAGTATTCAGTCTCCAAGTATAAAAATAAAAAAATTAAAATGATCCTTCTATTATTTAGATTGACAAAGTCTGTACAAAATATAGATAATTAAATCCACCACAAAAACTAAAGTGCAGGTGAAGTTTCCCAAAATAACTAAATAAAATGAAGCTTCAGATCTGATGTGCATAAATGTAACATACAACAAAATATGTTTCCTTTAAATGAGGTGTAACTTCCAGAACTTGTAACAAAGTGATCGACCGACCCTGAAGCTTGTGGTGTTTCATCTTCCTCTGTTCCTGCAGGAATGATTCATTTCTCTGATGCTCTGTCTCTGATCACCTGACTCTGTTCTTGGTCCATAGACAGTTGAGCTGCGCGTGTTTGTACCGGCAGTTTAGAACGGGGGAGACGTATCCCGCACCAGCAACCAGAGCGGAGTGGGGGGAGAAAAAAAAAGACGAGTGGCAGCTTAGAGCGGGGGGCAGGAAGAGACAGTTGAGTTGTCTGTACCTGCAGTTTTGAGCTGGATGGAGAGACAGCTGAGCCGTGCATTGTTTGTTTTTAGCTTTTTAGCTATCTAGTATTGCATGCAGCTAATTAGCGTTACACCAGTACCGACAGGTGGGGAGGGGGGGGCGCAATTCGGTGTGGTCATTCGGCACGCTCAGTTCTGTTAACGGGGCAGGGCGCCTTGACGTATTACGTCATGAAATTAACATATATCTTTTTTTTGCCCGGGCAAGCTTTTTTTTTACCGGTATTATCGTGAACGATACGATATGGCCCAGCCCTACATCAGCCTAACGATTAGTTAGTTAGCATTAGTGTGCTAATGGTCCATCGTTAGGCTGATGGTCCTCCTTGATCACGTGAGCAGCTGGTTTTGGCTGTCGGCAGCAAACTGGTTGATCCACCACGAGAAGGTGCTATTTATAAGACTGAGCTAAATACAGCACCTCAGACTGAAGAAGTCTTTCGGATGAAAGACGAAAAGTTTCTACAATTTTTTTTGTTTTGTTTTGTTTTTTTGAATGGCCAGAGGACCAGATTTAACATTTTTAGATGTAGGAGTTGTGTTTTTTCCTGGGTGTTGTGTTCTTGTCTGTGTTTCCCTGATCCTCTGTTTATGTCTCTATAGGGTTTGTGTTTCTTTGGTGTCTAGCCGCATCTTGTGTCGTGTTTATGTCCTGCATCTTCATTCTCTGTCTCCTGGCATCTGTGATCATTCACAGGTGCCTTCACTCTGTCTGATTGGTGTTTCTCTCTCTACAAGTCTGTGTCTCTGTGTTAGTCTTTGTCCTGGCATTGTCTACTGCTCACTGTTGATGTTCTGTCTGTTTTGTAAGTACCACCTGTCCATCCTTGTTTGTTTTTGCTGCCCTGTCATCTCTTTTGTTTTGTTAATAAATCTTTTATTTTTATATATAAATCCTGAGTCCTCGCCTGCTTGCCTGCACAACTGGGTTCACCAGCACCAATCGTGACAGTCGTACAAGACTTTTGTTTTTTTGCAGCTCTCATTTATTTTATTTTTTTCATGAGTTGGATCCACGATGCCACCTGTCAGTCAGTCCAGTAAGAGTGTCAGCAAATGACCTATCCGAAGCTAAATGAGTCGTAATTTTATTTTTTTTCCATTTACGTTTTATTTATCCAGGTAGTTTCATTGAGTCACGAGAACTCATTTTCAAGAGAGACCTGTTTAGGGAGCAGATGGTGGGGGTTAAGGGCCTTGCACAGGGGCCCAGAGTGGGGCGAATGAGGGTAGAGGCAGGTGTGGGTGTTTCACCTTTTCCACCCGCATTTTTATGTTGTCAGTACCGGGAGTTGAACCTGCGACTTTCTGATCACAGGCCCATCTTTTTTAACCTCTGAACTCCAACATGATAAAGCAGGGTTTACTGTATTTTAACTGTAGTAAAATAAAAAATGTTTAGCATCTTGTTAAGTTATTTTTTGGTATTGGTTTTACAAATAAGGAGATAGTTAATCTGTTAGCACATCAGATTATCAGATTATTATCAGATTAGTATCAGGACTTTGAATCTGCTTACAGTAAGATGGTATGCTCTGATGAGCTGCAGCAGCTCTCTGCAGGTGAGGAGCATTTAGCTTTGGATTGGTCATTTGCTGACACGCCTACTGGATTGATTGACGGATCGCGTTGTATCTCCAACTCTTGGAAAAAAAATAAAATAAATAAGCGAGAGCGGCAAAAAAAGTCTTGTACGACTTTATTCTCATAATATTAAGACTTTATTCAACTTTATTCTCGTAATACTAAGACTTTATTCTCATAATTTTATGGCTTTTATTTATTTATTTATTTTCTTAGCATGGCCCTAAAGCTTCGTCATAGTCTTTAGATAAAATGAGAAGCAATTTTTTTTTTGTTTTTAAAGATCAAATTGAGGGCCAGATAGTATGTTAACAAGGGCCATATTTGGCCCCTGGACCTTGAGTTTGACATGTGACTTAGGGGACATCATAGGGACCATGTAAACAACTCTCTCATGCATAAGCAACATGTCAAACTTGATAATATAGTTTGTTTGAGTTGACTGAGACGGCAGAAATGTGATTTCATGAATTTTCCTCTTGAATCTTTAAAATGATGCTGACTATTCACAACTACTCCTCATCCCCACTTTAAAGCAAAGAACAATTATAGATTATGTATGGAGTTTAAAAACTAGTAATACGTTGTTTTGTTTTTCCAAACAGGGAGTCTCTCTGTCACCTTTTGGAGGGATGGTGTCCTATCCGTACCACTACACAGCACCACCAGGTGAAATCTCTCCAGCTCTCCCCTCTTGCTCCACCTTGCGACCTCACACTAGAATTCATCATCACAGCAATTCTCAACCGTGGTTGCGGTTCAATCCATATCAGATCCCTTCGTCTTTCACCTCTCGCCAAAACCTGGCGGCCGCCTGCCTGCCCATTAGGTCCTGTTCACAGCTTGGACTGTCCACACCTGGAACCAGTTTAGTGTCTGACAGTCACAGCTACGAAGGAGGCGTCATGCAAAGGACTGCTCCACCCATGGCTAGTGTTTTTGTTGATGAACTGCAATACAACTGGAAGTTTATGAAGCTGCACACAACCAATTCCTAAAATAAATACTACGTGAAAACCTGGATCTGTTTTTTACATGTCGGTATGTATTTATAAAATCAGCTTGAAGTTTGTTTTTTTTGCACATCACACCTCCCCCAGAAAATTTTGAATAAATTAGATGCCATTTTGTGCATTCTGGTGTATTTTAACGGGTTGTTAAACCTCTGTTTACCTATATATGTAAACATTTGAATCAACAACTCTTAGAGAGCATCGCACAACAATATGTAGCCTGACCAACAGCTCTCCTTGTGTGAATAGAGCACTCTGCACTTCTCTCATATATCCTAACACCCCCACTCCAACCCCGGTTGACAACTGCTGACAACTGTATTGCGGTGCACAATACAGACATGCTTGCTGCTGGATTGATTGACAGGTGGCATCCAGGATCTGAGTCGTACAAAAAAAAAAAAAAAAAATCAGAGATTTTACTGAACCGTTTAAGACAGTCATAAATTATTCCATATTTATTCGAAATGTATTCAATGTTTTGGTGAAACAAAGGGTTGAGAACTGAGTTTCTTTACAAAATCCTAATGATGGTTTCTTAATTTTTCAGTGGTGCTGAGTTAAAATTTAGGGGTGCTTCAGCACCCGCAAAAAGAGACTAAAATGTCACCTGGTGAATCCTTCGAGGAATCCAATTGCCTGCCACCCGTTATGTCAGTTTTAAACTAAGATTATCTTTTACTGATGAATTACTCAATATCAGTAATTTTAGTCAAACTGTAAAAGTAACATTAAGCTTTATTTTATGACTTACTGTACGGCAAAGTCTTACCCAAAAACCCTCAATGCATTTGTTGCTAATGACTTTCAGCTACTACCACACCAAACTTTAGTATATTATCTGTAAAATTAACTGTGTTAAAGCCATTTTAATGTTTTCTAAGGTCAATTGCCCATGGTGGACATCTCAGATCTGTGTGCGTGTGTGTGTGTGTGTGTGTGTGTGTGTGTGTGTGTGTGATGGTGGGTGTATGTGTGTGTTCTGATTTGCAAACTATTCTGAAACATTCTAAAGACTTGGGAGTCAAAATGAGATGAGGTATTTAGAAAAAAAGTCATGTCAGTGTTCAGATGGATGGAATGAAAACTTCAGTTTGCAGTCAAAAACAAATTATTCAGAATGAAAATATTTTGGTCAAGAACTTATTTTTGCCTTAAATGCAGACGATTGTCAAAGCCTTCAGTGACACAGGCAGAAAACAGGACAGCCAGCCAAACTCACTGATCCAACCAAAGATGTGCACGGTTGTCCACAAAAACAAGGTAGATTAATGGCATAAAGTATCTTAAAGGATTTGGCCAAACAACTTAACACACTTTAGAACAGGATCTGATTCCTGAATCCTTTTAACCCATAAAAACATGTTTACACACGCTCTGCATCGACAAAGGGAATAACATTCTGAGGCAATGTTGATTGATTGATTGATTGATTGATTGATTTTTATTGTCAATTCTGCATATGTACAGGACATACATAGAAATTGAAATTGCGTTACACTCCTACTCAAATTGCAGCAAACAACAACAACAGCAAAAATAAACTAACACAACTAGTTATATAAAAAAAAAAAAAAAAAAAAAATATATATATATATATAAAAAAATATAAAAGTGAACAGCAGCAGGACCTCTGATGCAACGTGCTCAATAGTCACTAACAGGAGACAAAGGGACGCTGACTGAAGACATGTTAATGTTAATGCAGATATGGTAGATTTATATTAAAAAAAATGCTTAAAAAGAACACAATTGATAATTATAGAGAATAATGAAGGCAACATGACAGATTACGCTTTACTCATAACGGGCATGAATTACAATGTTTTAGACTAAAAACTGGATTCCAAAAAAGTTGGGACACTAAACAAATTGTGAACAAAAACTGAATGCAATGATGTGGAGGTGCCAACATCTAATATTTTATTCAGAATAGAACACAAATCACAGATCAAAAGTTTAAACTGAGAGAATGTATCATT